GTCCCAGGTTCAATTCCGGTCAAGGGCACATGTCCTGGTTGCTGGGTTGGTCCCCAGTAGGGGGCTTGCAGGAGGCAGTTGCTGATCAATGACTCTCTTTCAAAATTGGGATGTTTTTATCTCTCTTCCCTCTCCCTTCCTCTCTGAAATCAATAAAATATATTTTTTAAAAAAGAAAGAAAACTGTAGAAAGTAACTGCCACAAGCAAACGCCAGGCGGTGGCCAGTGCCAATTTTCCAGAGCCCTGCTTCGCGGGGTGTCTGAATGCACAGCTCGGGGTCTCTGCTCACACTCGCTGGAATCAATCGCAGCAGGTTTTAGTCCACAGGTCGCTTTCCCCCACATTTCTTCGTAAACTCCAGCATTCTCACAGAAGCTTGTCCGGTCCTTGGAGTGTTCTTCAGCTAGGTCAGCCCGAAGCAGGTGGTGAGGCTGGGTGGGTTGTTCAGTGCTATGAGAGGCTGGATTACTTACTTGGTCAGTTTTGGTTGCTGGCTTCCTATTTTCAGCACTAATTCCTGGCAGACAGACCTGCCCCTTTTCATTGATGCTGGGGCGATAGATCTTTGTTTTAAATGTGGTCTTCGGTGGTTTGAATGGGTATTCTGCTGGGAAGTTGATTTCCATTCTGCAGGCCCCCTAATCCGATGGAAGGTGTCAGGGACAATAAGCCTTTGCCAAGTCAACAAATTAGCTTCATCAACCTGGATGTTACGGAGGTTTTCATTCCAAATTTTCAGGGTTTTTTTAAGCTCCATCAGCCTCCTGCTGGCCGCCATCTTGGATCTGGTCTGTGTGTAAGTTTTTATGTTTTCATTTATTTTGAGCAGGGGTCCTCAAACTTTTTAAACAGGGGGCCAGTTCACTATCCCTCTGACCGTTGGAGAGCCAGACTATAGTTTTAAAAAAAAACTATGAACAAATTCCTATGCACACTGCACATATCTTATTTTGAAGTAAAAAAAACAGGAACAAATACAATATTTGTATTTGCATGTGGCCCGCGGGCCATAGTTTGAGGACCCCTGAGTTTGAGCATATACCTAAGAGTGGAATTGTTGGGTCATGTGGTTATGCCCATATAATTAAAAACATTTAGTATTTTGAGGAACTGCCAACTTCTCCAAAGTGGCTGCACCATTACATGTTTCAGTTCACAGTGTATAAGGTGTTTTTTTTTAAATTTAAATTTATTTATTGAAAGCTCCACCACGATCAATAGAGTGCCAGTGCCACCTTCATAAACAAAAGGAAGCTGATGAACGTGTCCCTTTAAAAGTCTGGGAACTTGGTCCACCTGCCCCAAGCCCAAGGCCTGCTCCCTAGAAGCAGGAAATCAGCGCGTGTCCCAGAGGCATGCGACCCCGGCACCGCCTGAGACTGCCTTCCTGGCATAAAAGGACTGGAAGAGAATGGAAAGGGGGCCCTGTTTCACTCTGTGCTAAATGCAGGCCGATCCTACCTACAAACATCTCAAGAGAAGAGGGTATCCACCTGGTATTTGGGGAATGCTGGACTGGAGACTCCCTCTGCATCATGCTCAACACAATGTGGAAACAGTGTTCTCTGAGCGCACCTTCCAGGCACTACCAGAGTCCCCTCCCCATGCGCCTGCTCACACCAAGGCCTAGCAACTCCCCCTCCCCTCGCCTGCCCCCCAAACACATCAGAGATCACTGCTGACTCAGGTAGAGGAGCCCACCAGGGGAGTCCACGCCACTGAGCAGCATGAGCAGGAAGAGGGCAGGAGGGGTCACCGGCTCTGTGGCGTGGTTGCCAAGATGCCACTGGGGAAAGCCCATGTCCACCAGTTGCTGGTTGAGGTCATTAAAGAGGGACGAAGCAGCACCAGTCTGGCCCCGCCCCCGCCCAGCTTGGAAAGGCCAGGACCCCCAGGGCACAGTGGCCCCAGTTGAGAAAGCGCAGGTGAGAGATGCTACTTCGTGGCAGGGTAGAGGTCCTCATGTGGGGGTCATTGTCCCGCTTGATTTCCTCATTGGCCAAGGTCCGCACTGTCCTCCCAGGGGCTCTGCCTCCCTTCCCTCCGACCACAGCTCCCGGGCCCCTGCAGCTCCCAGGCCACTTCCTAACCATGGTGTCTTGAGTTCCCATTAGAATAGTTGAGGACCAATGACGTTTAAACTGGATTCCCAAATATGTAAACCGGACAGAAGTGCCTTGGCTCTGATGGGTGTGGGGGTATGTACCAGTTAATTCCAGCAGCAAACAGAATCCGGCTCTGGAGCAGTGCTGTCCAATAGAACCTTCAGTAACGATTGCAATTTTCATATCTGCAGTTAAATTCTCTCAGTAGTCTAGATAATAGCCAGGGGCCGGATTAGATTGAGAGAAGCCTACATAGACCACTGCGGAGGAGTACAAGATCTGGACTAGGACCTGGATTTTATTTTATTTTATATATATATTTTTTATTTTGAGAATATGTTCATTAGAGCCAGGAATAGTGCAACAAGGAAGGGCTTAGGGTAGAAGGAGCAGCAGGAGAGAGACAGGCAGGGCTGCTTTGGCTCTAGAAACGCCATGGGAAAGAAGCGAGCCAACGCGGCTGCTGCCAGCTCAGTGGAGAGTCAGAGAAAAGGGGGCCTTGGGGACAGGGCCAGGGGCTTGGCCTGGGAGGAGCTGCCCCTGCCCATTGCTCCCCTGGTTGCAAGTCTCGTGGGGACCCTTAGAGTTTAGGAGATGCAGGCCTATGAAGGAAGAAGGGGAGGGAAAGGCGAAGGCATGCTCCCAGGAGTGCACACTGGGACCTGGCTTGGAATCCTGATTCTACCTTCTACCAGCAGGGTGGTCTTAGGTAAGTCACATGTCTCTGAGCCACCACAGCTCGCTGTGTAATTGGGGTAGCACCCGCATCAGCGCTGGTTCTCTTGTCTTAACACTCACTCTTGAGGTGAACTCCAGACGCATGGCTTTAAACACCGTCCCCCAAATTTACATTTCGAAATCTCCACTTGAGTGTCTAACAGGCATCTCAAATTTAGCATGTCCCCCGATGAACTCTTTATCTTCTCCCCAAACCCGCCCTACCCCAGCCTTCCCTTATTAGAAAACAACCGTTCTTTTCTGACAGTTGATCAGACCAAAGACTTTGGTGGTGGTGTTTAATCTCTCTCTCCCACATGTTAAAAAACCCGTTGGTTCTACCTCGAAAGTATTCGGCAACCGACCGCTTCTCTCCACATCGCCTATCACCCTGAGTCAGGCCCGTCATCTCTCACCAGGTCCGGTGCAGGGGCCTCCGCACTGGTCTCTGCCCCACCTTCGTCCCCACCACCTGTCTCACCCGTCGCATCCAGAAGGCAAAGCCCTGCAACAGCTCTCCATGGCCTCAGCGCAAAAGTCCTCAAGATCCACTCAACGAGCCTGGTTCTGTTTCCTCTGTGACCTCCTTTCCCATCTGCTCCGTCCTGTGCCCTGTCCCAGCCCCACGGGCCGCCTTGGGGGTTTCTAGAACATGCCAGGCATGATCCCATTTTGGGGCCTTTGACTTGGCTTTGTCCTCCTGTGTTATTCCCTTCCCCAGGGATTTCGTGGTTGGCTCCCTCACTTCCTCCGGTTTCTGCGTTATGTTCCTCCATCATACTTCACATCACATATTTGTGCAGACTCTCCGTCTCCTTTCGAGAGACGGTCACCTGCAGGAGGACAGATGACTGGCATTTTATTTGCTTCATTACTGTCTCATGTGCCTGACAAGTAGTGTTCAACAAAATCTGCGGAATAAATGAACAAATTCAATAATGCTGTGAGGTAAATCTGTTATTCTCATTTTATTTCACTTTTTAAAATATTTTTATAGAGAGAAGGGAGAGAGAGAGAGAGAGAGAGAGAGAGAGAGAGAGAGAGAGAGAGAGAAACATGGATGTGAGAGTGGTACATTGATTGGCTACCTCCTGCATGCCTCCCACCAGGGATTGACCTGGAAACCCAGGCACATGCCTTGACCGGGAATTGAATTGGCAACCTTTTGGTGCACTGGATGATGCTTACCCAACTGAACCACTCAGGTCAGGAAAACGGAGACTCAGAAAGGTGCCCAAGGGCACACAGTTAAGGACTGGTAGAGTCGCCTTCAGGCTAGCCAGTCAGACTCCAAGGCCCAGGCTCTTGCTCATGACTGATGCATTGCCCATTGGCCATTGCATACATGACATCAACCCGTATAAAGCCTGTTCTTACATAAAAATGAGTTTTAGAAGTGAGTGCCAAGAGAACACTGACTCCTTTTTGACTGAGAGAACTCATCATTCAAATTGTTCCTTTTGGGGTTAACCCAGGAAGCTCAGCCAAATGTGAAGTTGGTCACTCTATTAGCCCTTCCTTCCACTTGATTTTTCTCTCATTTTTATTAACCTTATCATCTACATTCTTTTTTTAAATTAATCTTTATTGTTGAGATTATTACAGATGTCTCTCCTTTTTCCTCCCATAGCTCCCCTCCACCTGGTTCCCACCCCACTCCTACCCGCTGGCGGGGCCCACGCGCACCTGCTGATGGTGTGGAGCAATTGGGGCCGGGGCCATTAGTGAGTGTGAGTGGTGGCTGCTGTCCTGATCCCCCCTCAGGAGCAGGGGTAGGTGGAGAAGCCCTCGGGCCGATCGGGCCAGCAGCCGCCACTTACACCTGCTGACGGCACCGAGCAAGGGAACCGGCACCAGGCATTGGCAATGGGTGTGAGCGGCACCTCCCGTGCAACCACGGGTGCAAACAGGGCCGGCACCAGCAGCAGGTACAAGTGCCAGGCGGGACCGCAGCGTGTGGGAGCAAAAAATTTTCAGTAACCACCAGAGGCTCTCCCCAATTACAGCAACTGGCACCCCACCTTGGTCTGGCACCCCTGCTCACCTGTTCCACTATCCCATCACGGTCAACGCCCACCATGTTCAGCACACGCCCCCTGGTGGTCAGCGCATATCATAGCAACTGGTTGTTAGTTGTTGCCCCCAAGTATGACTTTAGATGGCTTTTATCCACAGGGGTGGCAGCTAGAGAGATGGCCCAAGCTCTGAAGACCCTGGCCCAGTCTGCCCATGGAGTGGCTGCATCGGCGAGTGACCCCGCAGCTGCACACGCCATGTTAGATTCTGCTCGAGATGTGATGGAGGGCTCGGCCGTGCTCATCCCAGAAGCCAAGCAGGCCCTGATTGTTCCTGGAGATGCGGAGAGTCAGCAGAGGCTGGCCCAGGTGAGGCCCGGAATGGTGGTCATCACTAAAGTGGATGTGTTAGCAGGCTTCCTCCTGGGCATTCTTCTGGTGTGAATACTTACTCAGTGGGTGTTTTTAGGACCTTCCAAAGTGCCATAACAATGATGCCCTTACCTACATAATACGTACTTTTGGAAAAAAAAAATAGTACTTTTTTTTATTGATTTCAGAAAGAGAAAGGGAGAGGGAGAGAGAGAGAAATATCAGAGATGAGACCACCCAGCAGGAGCTACAGAGAGATCTGCAGATTCCTCCTCTTTGTTTCAGGTTTGGAAGTGCCCAGATGAGGCCCACTGTGAAACAAGGCAGGGTGGTGCTGGTGCTGGTGCCGGTGCCGGTTTTTGGGGCCTTTTATTGATGGGTTTGCAGCTCCCTGACCCAGCTGCAGCTTGTTTGACAGAGTTTTCACCTGAGAAAGGACAGACCATTCTATGCAAAAGCTGCTGTGCACAGCTTGGGTGGGGTTGTAAATTGGGTGGGGCAGGATCTCAGGGAATCACCAGGGCAGAGCATACAGAAATGGCTGCCTGTCATCCCTGCACAGAGGAGGTCCCAGCATGGGAACAATGATCAAATTTTATAATTGATTTGAGAGAGAGAGAGAGAGAGAGAGAGAGAAACATCAATTTTTTGTTCCACTTATTCATGCATTCATTGGTCGATTGGCCTATCAGGATGATGCTCTAACCAACTGAGCAACTCGGCCAGGGCTGTTCCTTGTTCATTTTCTAATCTACACTAATAAAAGAGAAAAATGGTAATTGGCATATGAGCTACCCTTTTCATTGGCTAATCAGGGCTATATGCAAATTAACTGCCAACTAAGATTGGCAGTTAAATGCCAACAAGATGGCGGTTAATTTGCATATGTAGGCGCAATGCAGGGAGGCGAAAGGGAAAGCAGGAAGAAGCCCCCTGCCACTGACAGTGATCGGA